CCCCCCTCCACACGTCCAGTTGACAGTGACGTTTCCCATGCAAGCTGTCAAAATTTGACGTGTCCAGCTGCAGTCGTTTGGAAATTGGGCGCGCTTCACTGGCATCAGTGCCGTTTGCATATTTCAAAAATTGAAAAAAAATGTTTCCAAGAGTGTCACATGGATGAAACTTTTGGAGAATGGACCTTGACGTTCAAACTGCAGACTGTCAAAATTTGACGTCTCTACCTGTGGTGGTTTGGAAGTTGGGCGCGCATCACTGCCGAGTGCGCAATTCGCTTTTCTCATTCGTTATCCAGACCGCAAATAAAAAAAAAAATAAGTTTTACATAGATTCGTTTTTTTTGGGTAATTGACTTTGACGTTTCGGCTACAATCTGTCAAAATTTGACGTCTGCAACTGATGTAGTTTCAAAGTTGGAAGCGATTCATTGGCAAGTGCCCCGATCGCTTATTTCCATGTGATCCAGTTAGGAATTTCTTTTAATGTTTTCCGAAGCTTTACAGGAATGAGGCTATAAAATTAATTGACGTTGACGTTTCGGCCACAAACTGTCAACATTTGACATTTTCAGCTAGATTAGTTTAAAAGTTGAGAGCTGTTTATTGTCAAGTGCACCGTTCGCCTTTTTCTCAATTATCCAGTTTCCAAATGTTTAAAAAAGTTTCTGGATGTTCGACCTGGATGACTCTTCATGATTAATTGACGTTGATGTTTCGGCTACAAACTGTCAAAATTTGAAGTGTCTAGTTCGATGGGTTTGGAAGTTGGAAGCTCTTCACTGGCAAGGGTGCCGTTTGCTTTTTTTTTCGTGTTATTCAGTTTGAAAATTTTACAACAGTGTTTCTAGAAGTTTTACATAGATTACGCTTTTGGGTACTGGAGGTAGACGCTTCGACTATAAACTGTGAAAACTTCACGTTTTCCGCTGTTGAGGTTTGGAAGTTGGAAGCTATTCATTGGCAAGTGCGCCGTTCGCTTTGCTCTATATGGTCCAGTTTACGAATTTTTTAAAACGTTCCTATAAGCTTCAGATAGCCGAACATTTTTAATTAATGTAAGTTGACGTTTCGGCCATAAACTGTCAAAATTTCACATCTTCAGCTGGTTTAGTTTCAAAGTTGGGAGACATTCATTGTCAAGTGCACCGTTCGCTTTTCTTCTATGTTGTGCAGTTTACAAATTTTTAAAAACTCTTTCTAAAAGGTGCACATAGTTGAGTGTTTCTAATCAATTGACGTTGACGTCTGGGCTACAAAGTGTCAAAATTTGACAGCCTCAACTGCACTACTTTAGCCATTGAGGCATCTAAACTGGCAAGTGCGCCGCTCAATTTTGTCTAGGAGTTTCAGTTTATAAATGTTTAAAAAATGTTTCCAGGATCTTCACATCCTTCAGTCGCTTGGGCCACTGAGGTTGACGTTTGGGCTTGAAAGCGTCAAAATTTGACAGCTGTAACTATAGTGGTTTGGCAGCTGGGGGCTCTTCTTTGTCACTTGCGCCGCTGGCTTTTTTCAAAACGTTTCAGTTTACGAATTTTTTAAAAACATTTCTAAAATCTGCACATGGTTCAGTCTCATGGGCAATTGACGTTGACGTCTGGGCTACAAAGTGTCAAAATTTGACAGCCTCAACTGCACTACTT